GTGAAATGAACCAGAAATATGAATCTATTGTGGCAATGTTAGCTCAGATGAACGGGAGTAAAACCAATCGTATTAAGAAACAGATCGAAGGAAGTACAGTTCCATCTCAAATCAGTGGTGTTAATATTCATGAGAGTGAGTACCACTCGAGAAGTTCTAGTGGAGGTAGTGAATTCAAAATGCTCTCTAAATTACCCAAAATAGATTTTCCCTATCTTGGAGGAGAAGGACCCAGAGAATGGTTACGAAAAGCGAAGAAGTATTTTCAAATTTATCAAATCGAAGATAAGATGAGGATGGCAATTGCAGAGATGTACCTTAAGGGGAATGCTAATATATGGTTCCATGGATTCATATCCAGTCACCCACATGCGGATTGAGACATGTTCTTAAGAGAAATTTTCAGGAGGTTTGCTGAGAATACAACAGAAGAAATGATAGGAGTCTTCAGTAAACTAAGGCAGAAGGGATCTATATTGGAATACCAGGAGCAGTTTGAGGAATTAAAATCTCAGTGATGATTTCCTTACTACACTTGTCGAAATCCTACTATATCTCTATTTTTACTAATGGCCTAAAAGAGGAGATCAAATCAATGGTTAAAATCATCCAACCCCAAACACTAGCTAAAGCATTCGAAATTGCCATTTTACAATAGAATACCATCACAGCCCTTAGCAGAAACTCTAAAAAATACAAACATTACCCCACACCTAAATGGACCAATCCAACCACTAAGCCAATTGAACCTACTCCTAAACCCACCACCTATACTGAACAAAGAAACCCCATCAACCCCCTTAGATTCAAAGCCATTACACCCTCTGATTTTCAGACCAAAAGAGAGTTGAGATTATGCTACTAGTATGACGAGAAGTACAATAGAGGTCACATTTGCAAGAACATGATGCTCAATTTCATCCTGGTTGATGAAGAGAAAGAAGAAGTGGTAGAAGAACTTCCTAGAGATGAAGAAGAGCAGGGTGGTAAAAGTGTAATGGATGAATTGATGGAGATTTCACTCTGTGCATTGATGGGTAGTAACAGGGGTAAAACCATCAGATTACCAGAGCTGATTAAAGGAAAAATAGTATCAATTCTACTAGACAGTGGAAGCACCTATAGCTTCATTGATGAGTAATTGGTTAGTAACATCAGTTGCAGAATTCAAACAGCCAAGCCTACCTTAGTAACTATAGTATGGGGAGGAAAACTAATCAGCAAAGCTATTTGCAACCCATTATCTTGGAAGATGAAGGACTTGGAATTCCAATACTGACTGTGGTGAAGCAATTACCTATGGTGTTTATGGAGCCAAAGGGCTTACCCCCACCTAGGTTTAACAACCATCATATTCCCCTGAAAGAGGGGACACAACCATTCAAGATGAGACCTTATAGATGCCCATACATACAGAAGACAAATAGAGAAGATGATCAAGGAAATGAAGGAGAATGGCATCATACAACCAAGTAATAGTCCTTATGCTTCACCTGTGCTATTGGTAAAAAAGAAAGATGGTACATGGCGATTTTGCGTGGACTATAGACAACTTAATAACCTCACAATTAAAGACAAGTATCATATGTCATTAATAGATGAATTGTTGGATGAGTTGAAGGGAGCCAATTGGTTCACAAAGATTGACTTGAGGGCTAGCTACCATCAGATTAGAGTGGCTACTGAGGATGTCCACAAAACAGCCTTTAAGACTCATGAGGGTCTATATGATTTCAGAGTAATGCCATTCGAATTGACAAACGCCCCATCCACATTCCAATGCCTGATGAATGAGGTATTTAAACAACATCTCAGAAAGTTCATTTTGGTATTCTTCGATGACATTTTGGGGTATAGCACAGACCTAGAATCCCATTATAAGCATGTCACTGTGGTACTGGAAATCCTCAAGCAACATCAACTCTACGCCAAGGAAAGTAAATGTTCCTTTGGGCAGTCCCAGATAGAGTACTTATGCCATATTATTTCTGCAGAAGGGGTGTCAATTGACCCTTCTAAAATTATGGCAATGCAAGATTGGCCTACACCAGCTAATGTCAAGCAACTCAGGGGATTTCTTGGCCTGACAGGGTATTACAAGAAGTTTGTAAGAGGGTATGGAGTTATTGCCAAACCTCTAACTAATTTGCTGAAGAAGGATAACTTCCAATGGAGTGAAAAGGCTGAGGAAGCATTTAAAGAATTGAAGAAGGCTATGAGCACCACACCAGTCCTAGCTTTTCTAGATTTCTCTATACCATTTATTATAGAGACTGATTCTTATTATGGTGGATTGGGGGCTGTCTCAATGCATAATAAAAGACCTATAGCTTACCTAAGTAAGGGCATTTGTAGCAGGAATATGGGACTGTCAATCTATGAAAAAGAGTTACTGGCACTAGTAATTGCTGTGGGAAAGTGGAGATATTATCTAGAAGGACACCACTTCATCATCAGAACTGATCACTAGTCCCTTAAGTATCTATTGGAGCAAAGAATCACCACCCCATTACAACAAAAATGGCTGTCGAAATTATTGGGGCTCAGTTACAAAATTCAGTACAAGACGGGCCTTGACAATAAGGTGGCAGATGCCTTATCTAGAAGAGAATTGGGTTGCCTAGCTATTACTGCGGTGATACCTCAGAGGATAGAAGAAGTGACAGCCAGTTATGAAGGAGATGAAGCTGCTAAAGACAAAATTAATACCCTATTGCTAGAGGGTCAGGTAGACCCAGATTACCAATATGTGAATGGCCCGCTCAAATATAAATCCAGAATTTATATTGGGACTGGAGGAGAAGTGGGGAAGAAATTGATTGCAGCTATTCAAGCATCTCAGGAAGGTGGGCATTCAGGTATTCAAGCTAGCATTCACAAGGCAAAACAGTATTTCTTTTGGCCAGGAATAAGTAAAGAAATCAAGCAAGAGGTCCTAGAATGTGATACCCGTTAGAGGTGTAAGAATGAACATGTGGCTTATCCAGGCCTTTTACAGCCCTTACTAGAAACACAATATGAGTGGAGTTATATCTCCATGGATTTCATCGAGGGACTGCATACTTCTAATGCTAAGAATGTGATATTGGTGGTGGTGGACAGGTTTACTAAGTATGCACATTTCCTGACCTTGGCTCACCCATTCACAGCCTCATCTATTGCCAAGTTATTTTTGGATCTCATATATAAATTGCATGGAATGCCACAAAGCATTATAACGATAGAGATATGGTGTTTACCAGTGACTTTTGGTAGAGTCTATTCAAGCAATTGGGGGTCAAACTGCAGTTGAGTACAGCATATCATCCCCAAACTGACGGCCAAATAGAGAGGCTAAATCAGTGTTTAGAAATGTACCTTCAATGTATGGCCTATACATAGCCTAAACAATGGAGCAACTGGATAAGTTTGGCAGAATGGTGGTATAATACCACACTGCCATCAAAATGACCCCATTTGAGGCATTATATGGTCTTAAACCTCCCCAGTTAGCTTTGGGCCCATATCAGCAGACCAACATCGCAGCAGTGGAGGACATTCTTCAGGAAAGACACAGAATAGACCAATTACTAAGGGAGAATTTGGCTCAAGCTAGAGCTAGAACGAAACATTATGCAGATCGAAATAGAAGTGAAAGGGAATTTCAGGTGGGCGACTAGGTTTATCTGAAGTTACATCCATAAGCTTAACAAACAGTGGCTAGAAGGTCTAACAACAAACTATCTGCAAGGTATTATGTCCCATATCAAATAATTCAGAAAATTGGACCAGTGGCTTACAAATTGGAGTTGCCTGCTACTGCCCAAATCCACCCAGTTTTTCACGTCTCCTTACTCAAGAAGAAGATTAGGGAAAGAGAAGTTCCTGTTCGAACACTTCTAATTCCGAACCAGAATTATAGGAAACATACTCAGCCACTACGGGTACTATCTGCGCGATTGGTTAATCGAAAAGGGGTAGCTATAACCCAATGGTTAGTCCAATGGAAAGGCTCCAACCCAGATGAGGCAACTTGGGCAGATGCAGAGAATATACATACCTCATTTCCATCCTTTCAACCTTGGGGACAAGTTGAAGTTGAGAGGGAGGGATGTTATGGTGGAGGAGCTAACCAGCTGAAGTGGGGAACCAAAGGCAAGAGGAACACCAGGAAGAAGGAACCAAGCTACTGCCAGGAAGAAGAACCACTTCCTCCAAATTTAAATAAGAACCAAGACGACGCCGTTTTGGATTAAAAGGAAATGATGTCATTTTGAGCCAAGAATTTCAATTGTAATTGGAACACGTTTTTTACTTTACAAGGGTGAATAATGCGATTTCTTTATGTTATAACGAGATGAGAAAGAGAGGAATGGGGGAGTTATTTTCATTGTGAATTTCCCTCTCAAATTTCCTTTCGTCTTTTTTCTTTCTCTCCTCTTTTCTTATTTCTCTTCTTATTTTCTCTTTGTGTTTTACTGTTGAGATGTGATTTCGTTTCAATTAATAGAATTACAGCTTGAGTTATTGATTCCCAGTTGATTTTCTTCAATTGTTGGTGTTAATTTGATTGGGTTCTGTAGTTTTGGTTGAAGTTGAGCTTCAACCATAACATTCATCAGCTTACAGTCAACTTCTCCACCTTAGTTTTGCATTACTAGTTACATCGATGCTGGCCATGTCAACCGGTATTCCTCGATACATGTGCAAACATGAAATCGTCCAAGAATGGAGATAATAAGTTTAACATTATCTGGGACTCAAATCCTACCAAAAATGAGATGTTGAGGACTCTGGCCGGAATAAAAATAGATTAAATATCCACTTGATATATTTTCAATAGATCGAGGATTTTAACTGTAATTTTCTGCAGAGTCAATAAGAACACCAATGTTGGCGAGACTATCAAGTACGTTCGATATACCATCTGTGTGTGCTCCTCCCCGGTTTGGCGCAAGGTCCCTGGGAAAAGATAAGGCAAAACAGAGAAATTTTTTTTTAATCTGTTTTGTGCAATATCCATGTCTGATCCTTCATCATCACGACGGTTTATTTCCATAATCTTCACTACCATTGCCTTCTCTTCCATCCATCTCTCATCTTCAATACCTTTTATTGTATTCCATGGTATTTTTTGTTTTTTCTTTAGCTACTTCAACAATATTATGCTTTCAAATTGGACTTTGTTGTGATATAAAGGTTAATTTTATGGGTTTTTGGTATGGCAGGAATCGGAGATCAGTGCTCCAACAGAGGAGTCAAACATTTTACCCAGGAACTCAGCGAGTGGTCCAAGTCTAAAGGATATTGCATGTACGATTCTTATTGAATTGTACAGAAATCCCCATTTTTAAGCCTTTTTTTTAAAATTATTTTTGCACTGTTGTATAAACTAGTGCTAAGATGTTATTAGGAAAACAAATTAAAGATTCATAGTAGTCTGATTGACTTCAGATAATTTGAAATAGGCGAAATCCGGCTATGTCTCCAATATTCATCTATATCTTTCTTAGCCTCTGCTTGGTATAATCTGATTTTAATCTATTGAAAATCTAATAAAAATTTACACCAAGCAAGGGCTTATTGCGTTTGTATCTGGTAATTTGACATGTTTTGTTTTGTTTTAGTAAAGTGATCTAATTAGATTAGATCCTATTGATTTGTTCAACCAAAAAACAAAGAAAACACTTGCATATTTTTTACATATTCTTTTGAGACAACATTTGACTATTTAAAAGCAAAAAATTTAGCCCCTGTTTGATACACATTAAAATTTTCATTCTCATTCTTCTATTCATTTTCAACTACACATTCTTCAATAAAATAATATTTTACATCATATCAAAAACTTTTCCTTCTTTTTCAATCACAAATTCTCCATCAATCTACTATTTCAGAATACATTCTTCCAAAATAATGTGACTCAAACACACCCTTAGTTTGATTTGAGAATTTAGTAGTTTACTTGGATACATTTGGAGCTAGTGTTAATATTGATGCCGTCATGGTTCAAAGTCCATTAGTTATGAGTTATTTTCATGGAAAGTGTCCTTGGATTATACGTATAAAAACATTATTATAACTTCATATTATATCAAGAAAAAATGACCAACCTGTGGAGATACATGTTGAAAATTTTATATGGGAAGACTTCTGGTTGGATTGAAATCTCTTGCTTACTTGATAATCGTATTCATTTTCTGGAATATGTGTATTGAGTTACCGTCCTTGCGTTCCGTCCTAGTTTATATCTTTTATCCTTGCTACATAACGGTGCTATGCTGAATTTCTGATAACATAGTTCTCTTCCCTTCACATTATATTTTGTCCAAACCTTAATGATAGAGAGAATATAATTCATTTGGCTCAAGAGAAGCTCTAGGTTTTTTCCATAATAAATCAATTCCTTTTCTCTTATTTTGTACTGGATCTAGCCTGTTTATCTTTTATTTTATTTTTTGAATTTCTCAATACTTTAGAGAAATTGGTGATGGAGCATGGGATTCCTGGTTTATGAACCTTCAGGAACAAGTAAGGGAAAAATAATGTTATCTTTTATTTTTGATCTTGGACGCATCAATTTCCATCTAATGATTGTAAGTTGATGTTTGCCTTCTTCACTTTTCTGCAGACAGAAATTGCTTGCAATAAGGTAGGGCGCAGAGTTGTTTGAGCGAATTACATTTAGTGACGAGTTGGTTCCTGCAAGTTTATTATCTCCCTAATAAGCTCAAAACAAACTATAGGTGAAGCAAATGGAAGAACTCCAACATGGCTACAACATTGTTGGCCTCTCACAGGTGACTCTCATGGATATTACATTTCATGTTGTAGCTCACAAATTATATTGTCCATATTCTTTATTCTTCAGCAAAAGTATTTGGTGGCTTTATGTCTTACAATTTCCCTGTGAAAAGATTGCATTTGACAAAGAGGTGGAAAACCAAATAAAATGACATGCAATTATCAATCTGTTGCATAGATATAGTCATATAGAAAGCTGCCCCTAACCCCCCTATCCCTACTGTCCACCCAAAAATGCAACTCTCTCTAGCTCGTCTTTTCTTCATCTTTATTTATGTACTTCTTTTGAAAACACATCAAACTCTTTCGTGATATGGCAAAGAACGTAGTCGATTATGATTAACTTCGACATCTTTGCATTTACAAGTAAAGCAATCAGATGAATACATCTTGCTGCTTAAAATATGAAGTTTCTTATGAATATTATTACTACTGTTAATAACATATCTTTCAATATTATTGTCTTCATTTTTAAAAAGAATTCATTATTAATATGATGTTTAATCAGTTTCTTGGTTGTACATGTAGGGTAACTTAATCGGCAGAGGTGTTGTGGAGTTCTGTGATGGAGGACCACCAGTAGGAACCAACTTAAATTGATTTTGCAACTTTATTTTCTGTAGATCTTTTCCAGACTTTTTAAGGCGTGATTTTTAGTGCATAGTAATTGTTATGAGTTGGGTTTTGTTCTGTTAGACAATTACATGCGTGTATGTCAAACATTTTTTAAATTCGTAATAAATGTTCCTACAAATTTTTTTTGATGAATGCTATTAATGACCTACTACAGAAGGCTGGTATCTCTTGTAAACATCAAGTTAATTAATCAATTTGTACATCTTTTATGAAGCAGAATGGCAAGCTTTTTTGATGAACTGTCACCAATGTTTGTGCATCACTTGGTTTACTTATGCTTTTCCTGTTTATATCACAGGTGAAGAATTTTATCTCACTAGGCGGACCTCATGCTGGTACTGCTTCAGTTCCTTTATGTGGTGTAAGTGCTGTTATAACTCTCTTTTGTGTACTGCAGGTTCTTTTTTGCTTTGTAGCAGTTGATATAGTATATTTGAGGTCAATGACGATTATAATCTGTCATTTAATACCCATTTTTTAGCAAACCTCTTACTAACTTCTATTTGTAACTTAAAATCTTTTCTTCAAAATAAGTAGTCACTTATCTTCCCTACTTTAGGGAATTGAATGCATGAATTTTCAACCACTTCAACGAATTGATTGCAAATAACTAGATGAAGAATGTAACTTAAATTTCAATTTTTAAACTTTAGCCATGTTTGCTTCTAAAAATGGATCTAAATTTACTCATTCCAACTCAACTTCATTTAATGTGTTACTATTATAAAATGATTTATTTAAGATTCTCAAATTATGAAATCATAATATGACCAATGGAAGATTGATGCCCCCCAAAAAAGCAGGTCAATATGAATAATTTCAGTTGTTGAAAAAGAATTTTCAGGTGGCATTATGGAAGTGGTAAGAGTAAATTTAGGAATGTATCTTGATTATTGTAAAATGTTCTAATTTTTCAACTCGACTTTCCATTATTAAAAATTGAAAAATTAAGGGTGGATTCAACACTATTAATGAAAGTTTGTTGTACATATATGCTGGAAAATTTTTATTCTTCTCTGCCCAAGGGATTTTTTTTTATTCTTTTCTGTCCTTGGAAAATGAGGTGCAAGGAAACATCTGAGAAACTGCCACCTTTGCCTGAATGACAAATAAAATAAACCCAATTATCAAATTATGACATGCAACATCTTGGAAGAAAAGTTTAATTCGATTAGTTGTTCACTGAAATTATATGGAACATGCGCTATACCCTGTATCTTTTTTTTCTATGGGTTTTACTAATAGTACGATGCAAAGTTCCACTTTTGGGAATATGGTAATATGTGATTTTTGTGTAAGGTGGCAAGGCACCAATGTGTTTCACCTTCCATAAAGGTTATATGTTGATTTCATGCTTGAATGTAATTTGTGCCAGGAACATATATATTAAGAGTTGAATTCTACAGAGAAAATTGATCTAATTTCCATATCTAGTTTGTGTTGACCTCTGCAATGCTTCTTTAAAAAAAGGTCGGTTGTAATCGTCAAGGGTATGGGGGTACCATGAGAATGATGTTGCCCAAGTTAGTCCTTGGAGGAACATGGTTTTAATGAAGTTATTGAAGTAGGGTTTTCGTGAATGTTAAAGTATGTTGTGGTAGTAATTTAAACCTAAGCTTAACATTTTTATTAAGCTTGATGAGTTTTGTCTTGTACTATTGTGGCATAGAATGTGATCAAGAAGACCTTTTTAGTTATATTACTATGTTTCAGTTTTACTTGTTACTTCCAGTTGAGAAACTTTTAACTAGACTTCCTCCGGTAATTTTCCCCTTTTACATAAATTATTTTTTTCTGCATATGTTCTTTTTATCGTTGTTAACTCTACCTCGTGTTGCAGTCTGGCATCTTTTGCATTATAGCCGACAATCTAATCAAGTTAGAGATATACTCGGACTACATTCAAGTATGCATCTCTACTTCATTTCTGGCTGAGTATTTCTGGAGAGTATGATGTTTCTTTGAACTGATTTCTTTTACGTGAATCACAGGCTCACTTGGCTCCCAGTGGGTATCTTAAGCTACCAAATGTAAGTAATTTAGTATACCTGTCGAGTAGAGTCATGTCATCACCTTGTTTTGCCAGAAACCTTGCACTTGTAGCATAGATCAGTGGATTGCTTTCCCTTGCTATCCGTGAAAATGAAATACAAGATTGCTTATTCATTTTTAACATTTTTTTAAGCTTTATTATTTAAAGGTAATTAATTGTAATGGGAGAAAGTGACAGAGATAGATGAATCTCGGAATTTCTATTTTTTTTTTTCCTTCCTTATTCTCACTTTCTGTGCAAGTTTGCGGATGGCGTTTTTCTCTTGTATGGGCTATAGTAACATCTAACTTGTAAGATACAATTTTTTGACATCTAACTTGAAGCATTGCCTTTTTGACTTGCAAATTATTTACTTCTGACCGCCATAATGATTTTTTCCAGGATATTTCCGGGTACCTGAACAAATGTAGGTTTCTCCCAAAGCTTAATAATGAACTCCCTGATGAGAGAAACAACACTTACAAGGAGCGGTTCAGTAGCTTGCAGAACCTTGTTCTTATTATGGTATGTGGAAAAATCACCTACTCATTACCCTCAATGTTATTTCGGTTTACGTATCTTTGTGATGCTTTGCAAGTGGCATTAGTTCCCATGTAAATCTAATCGTCTCTCTCTCTCTCTCTCTCTCTCTCTTTCTCTCTTATATATCACAGTTTGAACATGACACTGTTTTAATACCAAAGGAAACATCCTGGTTTGGATATTATCCAGATGGAGCCTTTAATCCAGTGTTGCCCCCGCAGCAGGTAATATCTCTATTGAGGTTTAAAAAAATTCTGTTTTCCATTTGAATTGCTTGAATTGTAATTCTCTGTAGCATCATTTTGGAAAACATAGTCAAACTTGTAATGATTGGGTTCATATGAATTTGACTGCTGAATTACCAGAATTTTCTTTCCAAATCAATGGTGTTCTTTCTTCAACAAAAATAAATTCAACATTTAGTAAAGGACTAATTTAATGTAACCAGACTGAGGTGTTTTTGAAATACAAAATTCTGAGTAAAATCAACACTTCCCAAGGCATAGTAAATAACGAGAGAAAAATGGGTCACACAGAAAATGTGCTTCTACAGATGACAATACGAAGGAGTATGCCGAGGATCATACTTTTTGAACTCTACAAGGGGGCCAATAAAAGTTTTAATTTTGCAGCAGAGTGAGTTAGCTGATTGTGTATATGTTTTGGGTTGATTTAATCGTGGAAACCGGTCGAGAATATAGTAATTCCTATGTCCTTTAGTTGGCTTAGTCTACCGCAATTGTGGACCTCGGTCAAAATGTAGACAAGAGTATGTTTAGTCAAACACGAATACGAGGCAAGAAACAGAAAAGGCATGTAAGCCACTGTGAACGATTTCGTAGGAGTAGCGCTGTTGCATGGAAGAAACTGATAGTTAATTAGTAGGTGATGACATTATAAATTAATCGTATGGGTGTAACTATTGTAAAATACAATTATGATACAAGCCCTCTTTGATCTGATAAGAAGTAATGAAAACAAGATGATTGATACGAAGAAGTAAAAGTGGATATGGCATTATTACAACTATACTAAACATGGAAAGTCAGTAGAAAAGGCTTAATTTCTATGGCCATCAATCTAATTCTTGATGTGTCCCTCTCACCTTTGTTTGTGCTCATGCTTGAAATCGAACACTGAGGACATAGACAATAGAAACTTCAGCGAAGCTTACTATCTCTGTGGTCTGTTACATATCTATACATTGTATTAAATTTTATGTTTTCTTATTAATATTTATCTTTGAATTAGTCTAAATCGGTTGTTATTAGTAGTTTTATTTTAGTTAGTTTAGGAGTTAGCTGGGGACAGAAAGTTAACTAGTGCTCCTAAATATCAGGGAAACATGTTGACTTTTTTGTAATTATACCGAATCAAGAATGAATAAAATGTCAACAAATTATTTCTGCAAACCTGTTGTTTGTAATTGGGAGGCTTATTGGTTCCTTGAATTATCAATATCGGAAGGTCTGGGTTTCCTTGAATTAACTCTTTCTTCGTCTTTTTTCTGTTTATTTTATTTATATTTCGTTATGAACAATTTGTGTTCGTAACATTTTGAGCAACAAGTGGAATGTTTGGGGATGATTGTTGAAGTTATATCTAATAGTCAAAAAGAACTTCGTTGCAAACTCAACGAATAGATGCGAAGTTAATATCCTCATCAAGTAGTTGCTTAGAACGTGCCGTGAAAGAATCAATTTTGCATAAGCAGAATTTTGAAGAAAATTAATTAGACGATGCAGGCATAACTAGGAATCCATGGAAATTTTGAGTTCAACTTCTTGGCTTAGCTCATATTATCAACATTGCCACAATGTTCATTCCATTCTAGTACCGGACCAACATGTTAGAAAAAATAATGTTATTCATCTCCATTGGTGCTAAGCACCGCTCTAGGTGGTAATATCATGAAATTAAATGAGATTTAGTTGAATGCAAGGTCATATGATTCGTTTAATTGATCCTATAAAATTTAGCCACCTAGATTGATGCTATAGCATCAATGCTGCTAGATAGCATTATTGTACCGAAAAATCTAAGTTTGATCGTGGCAGAAACATTAGCTAAAGCTTGAATTGGATGCAAATTAGTTTTCTCACAACAGCCTGAAAAAATGGTGCAAGTAAATAATTAGGATCAGTATCTTCTAAGTTACTCCCTCTTTAACTTGTTGGCAACCACCAGGCCACATCATCACCAAACACAAGATACATAATAGCTATCTTCAACTGAACATATAAAAGCTGAGATTGAGAATTGATTATCTTCAAACCGAATAAAAAAGTAAAAGTCTTTGAATTAGTCTAAGGTGGTTGTTATTTGTGATTTTTGGATGGTTATATTCAAACAACATGTTTTCATAAATACACCACATTTTAATTATATTAAAGGTTGTTCATTAACTTTTATTCATTATCACACTTATATCATTAAATTTTTGTTCATCACATTCTTATTTTTGATATTTTATTAATTAGAAAATCCTGTCCTTCATTCAAAAATATTGTTAAAAAATATAATGGGCAAATGAATCTTTTTGCTCTATCTTAAAGAAAATTTTGGAGAGAAACCATTATCAGAAACAATTTATGTTAATTTGAGAATATGATACGATGAAAAAAATTGACATAAATGTGATAATGAGTAAAAGCTTATGAACCTTTCTTGTAATTAAATAGTTGTGTAATTATTAAAAACTTTGATGTTATATATTTAGCTGTAATTTTATTCTAGTTAGTTTAGGAGTTAGTGAAGGATGGGAAGTTGATTAATGCTCCTAAATATTAGGGAAACAGGTTGATTTTCTTGTATTTATACCAAATCAAAGAATGAATAAAATGTCGACAAATTATTTCTGCAAATTTGTTGTTTGCAATATTAGTTCCTCGAATTACCAATATTGGGAGGTCCGATTTTATCGAATTATCCCATTCTTCGTCTTTTCTTCTTTTATTTGTTTATTTTTCATTACGAGCAATTTGTGTTTGTAAAATGGTCATAAATGAAATCCATGTACAAGCACGAATATGATTTTACAAGTATAAATAATATAGTTATATATCGTATCTACGATCATAAATAGAAGCTTATAAGCTCTTTGTGCTTACTATCCCAAACAATATTATACAGTAGCAACAAATGTTAAAACTCCTAACCTGAAAGAAACACAGCAGTGGGATAAATCATAATATCCTAAAAGAAGTAGGTGCATGAAGTAGCTATCGGCATTTTTAATTTTTGGACAGAATTAACTAATGACACTTGTGGACCGATAAGGATCCATTAACTGGATTTTAGAACTTTTGGATTTCACTAATATTAATTTGGGATTTTATATTAATTTCCTGGGACATTTTTGGATTTTCCCAAATTTTCTGAGGCAAACCTATCTTCTTAATCTTTGGTTGACTGCTCATGAAAAGGATTAGGTAAAACATTTTTGGCATGGTATTAGATTTTGATGTCTCAGGTTTTATTTTGTTGTTCGACGATCTGATATTTTCTTTTATGTCTCGTTTCTTTATACGGTGCTGTAAAAAGCTTTCATATACGAAGCTACCATGGGTTGAGCACCTTGATATGTACCAGATTTAATGTACAGTTAGTCGTAATTTGAATTCAATAAGTGCCATTTGGCAGATCTGGTAACTATAGATCTTCTTAAATTACTCGTTGTGAAGAGTCTCCCGATTTGCCTAGGCAGACCTCTCTTTCTCATTCTTTGTGCTACTAAGGAACCCCATATTTTTGCTATGCCTTTGATTAATGAAGTTTCTGCTGCACTTTAAGTACACTGGATTCTGATTATTGACCTGTCTTTCATGCTCAGACTAAGCTATATACCGAGGACTGGATTGGATTGAAAACCTTGGATGATGCTGGAAGGGTGAAGTACATAAAAGTAGCAGGAAATCATCTTGGAATCTCCAAAGATGATATGAAGAAGTATGTTGTTCCTTATTTGGATGATGCATCAAAAGGCCATGTGGAGGAAGCTCATGCCAGCACAGTGAAAAACCAGAACGAGGGATCAGTGGAGATAATATCTGACGCCTCATATTATAGGTGGCCATCGCCAATCAAGAGCTTCTTTGGAGAACTGTTTGGCATTACTAAAGACGAGTAACCGTTTCACTCATATTTCCGATCATAGAAACTAATGCAAACATGTGTCTGTATTAATTGAGTTATGTAAACAATGCGAGTCTCAGAGTTTGGCTGAGATACTGTCTTGTACAGTAGTAAATGGATTCCTCGAACATAAATATATCTAGTCCACATGTTTGAATTTGATGGGTGCATGATGGTAATTTGTGGGTTCAACGAACCTAGATCCTATGTTATTTAATTCAATTCATCATCTGCGTCATCTACCAAACAGGAAAAAATAGGCAAATGTTAATTTTTGGGAACGTTGTGCGGTGTAAGCTCTTTACAACATCTGTTTATGCTCTAATTCATTGTTTGACCAGTGCATCAGACTAAATTTATCCCTTTTTCTATTGGTAATAAAACTGTAGAGATAAAAAATTTGAGTGCAACTACTCTGGGTATACCCCGCTTCAGATTTAAAGTTACAATCGGTCTATTGACTCAAAACAAACATCAAAAATCAATCAAACATAACAACTTCGTCTAATCATTTAGGCTAGCTACGAGTTGGTGCCTTTGAGCTAATCATTCAGGCAGCCTTCAAATTGGTGCCTTCAAATTCTGCTTTCCCAGTTGGATAATGTTGGGCAGCATGCGTTTTTGGTAGCAAGAGTTGCCAAAACTGGTATCATAATACTGCATAAAGCAGTCAACTGTGCTGGCTTTTTACAGGGCAGATTTTATTTCCCAATTGAGTAAAGAGTTGTGCTTCTTGTACATCAAGTGTTACATATTATGGACACCCAGCTCAATCCTATTGGATGGAGTGCATGATATCTCAAAAAAAAAAAATTAGGGTGTAGAGAATTAATTGCAAAAGAAGGCAAATAACACATTAAGATCAAATCCAAGAAGTTCAAGATTGAATTCAAGAATTTTCGGGTGATGAACAACATTTATATCTTTTGCTTTATTCTTCACAATATGTTAGGCTAGATTTCTTTGTTCTAGGAGAACGATGAACTATGTAATATGAATTTTTATTTTTTAGTTTTATTTATTTGACATTAAAAACACGTTTTTGATATTGAATGATTTATATGATTTTATTTTCTCCACAATTATTGTGCACGGTAGTTGTGTGAATGTGGTGACTTAGAGGCCGTTCTCTTCGTGTTTCAGTTTTTTGCTTTGAGTTTTGAATTCGTTTTGTATTTGGTGTTTTGAGTGTCTGCTTTGAAATTTCTGAAAATGCGTTCTTTTTGCCATTTTGAAAAACTGTTTTCAAAAACATAAAAATGGAAAACGCGTTTACTTTGAAATTTTGAGATTTTTTTTATAATAGTTTAATGTTAATATAGTATTAAATAACATATAAATTTTGAAATTGGTGAATCTTGAAATATTTTTTTTCCAAATATAAAAAACACAACCTAAATTAAATTTGGCAGTCCTTATTTTTTGTCCTTGTACGTAACTTGTGACAAAAATTAACTTGCATCAAGCCACAACCAAATCTAATCAAGTTGCAAAAAAGGGGAGCACTAATCTCATGTTGATATGGTAATAAATATTTTAAAATCAATCTTATTGAGTTCATGTTAGTTCTCACAATTCTTTCCAAATATAATTTTGATCGTCTAAACACGATGACTATAATCAATGATAATAAATAACATTACTCCTTAATTATAGATAAACCACTAACAATCTCTTCCATATATAATTTAGCATAACATTACATGTTATAAGTAAATATTGACTAGTAGAGTGTGTGCTCACTTGACAAGACTACTTACAATTACTCAAATAGAATTCTAAAATTTCTTGATTTACTCGTGCCAATGACAAAAATTCATACAAACATGTTCTCTCTATTTTCTTCCTATGAAAGGGACTACCTCATTTATTGAAAACAAAATTAAATTACAAGATGCCGATATTTAAAACAAAATTAAATTACAAAAATCTGTTCACAGGAGACAGTTGCGTGAACTATTAAAACTAACAAAAATTCAGACGCCTAAAATCATTCATTTCCAGTTCTCAGATAATGCAAAAGATGCACCTAGGTGTTGATGGCCCTAGTGTATATCTCCTGGTTAGAACGAGCTAACACCATTGTGATCAAACGTCTAAACATCAGTTTTCTAATGGCCTTCCTAGCAAGTGATCCATTGATCTGTAAATAATACATAATCAAATTCAGTATCAATGCTAAGCCAAACATTATTATACCAGCATCCTATAAAATAAAAAGAGATAATCAATGAGAAAACAGTTAAACATACATATATATCTACCTCAACATATGATTAACTATAAAATGAATATGATTATTAAGCTACCTCAACATGCTCACTGCCATCCTCATCAGTCCATGTTCGATTAGGAATTCGTTGACGAGCAGCATGATTCCTGCTTTCTTGGCCATAGCCAGTAATAGGGGACCCAATCCTCACCCTAACTTGGTGCAAAGAAAGTTTTAAACTATCACAATCATGAAATGCAATCACAATATCCACAAACATCAAAACTATCTTCAATTTTTAAGTATTCTTCATCTAATGGCAAAAGAGCCTGTATTTTATGCCAGTAGAAATGAAATTTACAAAAAATGTCACTGGCAGCACACAGATCCCGTAACATGATGCCAAGCTCATTTGCACCAAATGGTAGATGCCAACCTATTTGAGGCACATGATCTACCAGAGGGCCACTTTGTAGATCCTTAAGAGGTTGGAGAGGAGGCTAACCCATGTGGTCCACGATCGTGGGACGAACGGACGGCGCTGAAATTTGCAAAACTCGGACCCTATTGCGCGGACTTCGAGACTGTCATTCCTCTGGGAAGAAATCCGAACATTGCAGGGTTGGAGGTGATAGAAGGGAGTGAGAAAAGGTTGTTGTTGGTGGAATCCGACGGTGAGGCGAGATTGTTTCTGCTGATTCTTCCAATTGATGGTGGAATGATGGGAGGTGATAGAGGGGAGTGAGGAGAGGTTGTTTGTGATTCTTCCAATTTTCAGTTTTGGTAGGGCGTTTTTTGTGTTTTCAACGCTTTCGAGTTTTTGGCTTGAACACACTCAAAATGACCAAATGGTTGTTTTAAGTTTTATGTACAATTTTTTTTTTCCAAAAATGCGTTTTCAAAAATAGGGAAGGGGACTCGTTTTCAGTGTTTTGGAAAGTTGAAAACAGAAAACGACTTGAAAACGACAAAGAGAACAGACCCTTAGGGACTTGGATGATTCTTTGTTTTTTGCCTTCCATTAAAGGTTCTTTGTGCTCAACTCGGATGGTTGCATTTCCAAATTAAAATACATTTCTAATATTAATAAATATACATATACAAAAGCGAACTCATACCCAATTAAAAATCCAGCAAATGGTATTATGAACATGACAAGGACAAGATGGTAATAAATAATTTTAAACAAAAAATAATAAAATATGACCAATGCAGTAATTGAATTCAATATAGCTCACCAAATTGAATAAAAAAAACTTTGGAAACAGAATCTACTAAGAGAATAAAAGAAATCACGTTGAATCTTACCTTCTCGACAGCTAATCTCTGCAACTTAGGGACCTCGTCCAACAACCGAGCCTTCGTTCTCCGAATATCCGCATTGATCGCCACAGCTGACACCCTACTCTTCTTCTGCGAAGCAGTCTCCGCTTTCTGCCAAAATCAAAGTAATAAAACATAAACAATCAAAATTCCAGCAGTACTTTTCAAATAGATTCCATATTGCAACTTTTGTCCAAATTTTAGTCTTGTCCTTCTTCAAGTAGTATGACTTCCCATCATCATCCATTTTGAACTCAACAATATACACCTCAATCTACTTGGTTGGAATGGATGCGGGAGGCACTTTTCGGCAAGAGACAAAGACGTTCGGGCACCGGTGATTTTTTGTAACGATGGCAATCGTGCTATCTACGAATGTTGGACCAATTTCTCACAATCAATCAATCTTTCTCTTGTAATGAAATATGTGGAAGGATAGATATAGAATGTAAATATCTTTTTCCTCCAGAGTTCAAGTGTACGTATGATTATATGATTGTCTATTTTCGCATCAATAAGTTCGATCCCCCCTCTTAAGTTATAAGGAGAACCTATTTATACTACCTTGGCTGACGTGGTGATCGTTAGATCAGAACCACGCGGCCTCATCTCCATTTTTGGGACGTCGCATCACTGTCCTTTCATACATTGCGGATTGAACAGTGCAAGACTGAAATGACACATACATTCAAAGTACTCTATCTGAACACGTACGATATCGAAAATCATCAACAAGTAAGATATGACTCCGAAGATGATTTGTCTACTATTATTGACAATGAAAATACGAAAAGAACAATGTTGAAATAATTTTTTGAGATAAATAAAGAAAATGAATTTGCTCGTACATTGTTGTATCGAGATTTTCCAACACATTTTGTTTGGAACTCAAATAAGAAAATTTGGACTACCAGAAGAAAACACGTTGTTATAGGACGAAATGTTGCAGCGAATCCATCTGAAGGAGAATGATATTTCCTACGAGTTCTTCTCAATCATATTCGAGGTCCAACATCATTTCATGATTTACGAACTTTGAACGGGGTAACTGTTAGTACATATCGAGAAGGAGCACTTTTACATAGTTTGTTAGGCGGAGACAATCATTGTGAAGAATGTCTGTCTGAAGCTATTATTTATAAAATGCCTACCTCTTTAAGACGTCTTTTTGCTACACTTCTCACTCTTTGCAATTCTTTCAGCAGCGTCGGCTGGCTGCTTCAAACCGGAGGGGCGGCGCCGGTTTCTGCTGCTGGCGCCGCCACCAAATTTTTTTTTTTTTTAAAAACTGAAATCTGAAAATCCGAGATTTTTGACCGAATAATTTTCAAATTTAACAAAAACTAAATCCGGAATTGTTAAATTCGAAAATAATAAAATTATCACAAGAACGAAATTAAAATAATATTCTTTACTGTCATAAGATCGTTCATGTTGGATCATCAAGAACTAATTAACCAAAAGCGGAAGCATACCTGGATCATACATGATTATAGCAATGAACTAGTCCTGCGATTTTAGTCTTTCAGATCAACACGTTGTTCCTTTGTTTCTCTCCGAAGATGGGAGTCAGATGTGTCATTTCCGTGCTCTTTTATGTGCAAATCCTGCGAGCAAAGACCGTGTTGAACTCGTGCGATTAGATCAACACGTTGGCCTTTGTATTCCATTTCAACTCTTCTAATTTTGCTCTAAATATACGTACAATTAGATTAGGTTGATTTTGAATCTCATCATTGTGTTTTAGTTCTTGCTTAATCTCTGGCCAATTTGGATTGCATGTTATAGTCAAAAAGATATCCGGTTTTCCATAACGCTGTACAATAGTCATTGCATCCATATATCTCCTTAACATATCTCTATGCCCACATGTAAAAGACTGAGGTAAAACAATTTTTCTTACAATTTTGCACCCTCTTGTCTCTCCATTTTGAACGCTATCTACAATACCTTGGTAAAGTTCAGCTCAAATTTGATTCTGGTTGTTACGAAAATAGTCTAATCGTGCAGTTTCGATCTTAATATACATATCTACAACATATTGCTGGAGCAATCGACCACTGTGAAGTAAAATAGACTTACCGGAAGACCTAATTTGCAATTTATATGAATAATATTCTCGAAAAGAAACCATTAATCGTTTCTTCATTCCGGTAAGCACTGTAAAAAGGAATTCATCATTCGATTAGAACATTGACCATGCAAAACTTTGGTGAATGTACAATAACTGAGATTTGCAAACCTTGATTTTCTTTTTCAATAAATTCAGCTGCAGAGGTAACTGTATTAAGAAATTGAACAAATTCAGACAAATGTTCAGCCCTTCTGCACCTTCCAATGCCTTCATGCCAAGCAGATTCTCCATATGGAAAAAGTAAAGGATATTGCAAAGGATCATACCAACCGTAGCAATAATGAAGTCTATGTGAATCACCAGAATGGCCATATATAGTAATATCATGAAAGCGAATATTAGCATTTTCATCGTTTTCGACTCATACAGCAGCTACTTCAGATGAGGTAGGAGCATTAAATACTCTTTGATCAACTCCTGGGTCGCATCTTATATGTATTTGATGATCTCGTAAGTTAGTCATATTACTTAAAGACCAAAAGAATCTACTATATGGATTTACCTTTAGAATTTCAATTAAAATAATTAAAGTACATTCATCAAAGTTTTTTGAAATTTTCATACGATTTTGAATTTCATTATCTGTATCGTAAAAATATAACTGCATATAAGAAGGCTTATTGTTCTGTGGGATAAGTTCGTTTACATAATGATATACTTGTCCTTGAACTCTAAATGTGTAAATACCTCGATATGTTTTAAAGAGCTCTTTGTCGTATTTGACACCAAATGAAGTGAAAGCAAAGTGGTTATTATATCCACGTGCAATTTTTTTTAAATTCCATACATTTAGATTCTTTAGAAGTAAACAAGTTATACAATTCAGTGGGTGAATCAGGTATAGAAATATGAACTTTTCCATCAGAACAACAGAAACCTTTACCTTTCTATAAATTTTCCTTGCACCACAATATGTACAACTATTGCATGTCGGTAATACGTATGCAGTCGTTGGTATGTTCCATACATTAAAACCACTTGGTAATGTAGAATTGGAAATATGAGGTGTCTCTTGGTTTGAAGTGGAAGCCTGAAAATCATGATGCATTATAGATTGTTGCATTTGTACATCATTCGAATTATTATGTTCACATGATATAGGATTACCTATCCTCCTACGACGATCATTGCAGCCACTTCGAAGTCGTTTTCGTCGATACTTATTCCTCTGATTTTCTTGTTGACGGTGAGGCATTGTTTCAAAATTAAGATAACTACTTGAAGTATCCATATCGAATAGTTGGAGCCCAAGATAACCAATAGGAACTAAAAGAATTAAAGAATATTAGTAATATATTTATACTTTCAAGTAACATATGTTAAAACATACGTAGAATAAAATTGAAATTTAAAGCATCAAAATTTGAAAACAATGACTGAAAATATATTTTAAAATGAAAAAATTTAGTATGCACAAAGAAAGTTTGAGAAACAGCAATTTATTACAAATGTACAAGTTCTTGTAAATAAATAACCAAAATACTACATAAACCTATAAAAAAAACTTGAATAGTTCAGTTGGAGAAATTTACCGAAGATAGAGTGCACTACTGTAGCCAATTACAACCGTCGGAAAAAATAATTGGACACTGTATAGAAGAGAATAGTAAATACAAATTAGAGTTTACAATTTGCCAATAGTAGGTGAATGATAAATACTGGAACTGAAACTTTAGGGAAAAAATACAAAGATTAAATAAAAATTGAACTGTACAAAATTTATAAAAGGAATAAAAAAATATCGTATTCGAAGATAGCACAGTTCAATTGATGTTGGAATTTTTAATATTTTTAATTTGAAGTATATGAACTAAATTGAAGTTGACATATTTTTTTACTGGATTGACGAGTGGTGCCCCTCGAGAGGGATCGGGGACATTGCCCTCGAAGGGGATCGATCTGACTGGTCAGGTCGCGGGGGTCGAGGGGGCAGCGCCCCTCGTGGGGGTTTAGGGGCAACGCCCCCGACGGGGATCGACCTGACCGGTCAGGTCGTGGGGGTCGAGGGGGCAGCGCCCCTCGAGGGGGTTCGGGGGCAACGCCCCCGACGGGGATCGACAATGAAATTTTGAGTTAAATTACTAATAAATGAAATTTTGATTCTATGTATTTATAGAATGAAGTCGAAAGGAATTCTAAATTTTTGTGTATGTGGTAAAGAGTTTATACTTTTTTGTTAAAGACACACCATTTTATATATATATATAAAAAAAAAAAAACATTCATACGATTACAACACTTTCTTATTCCAATTAAATAAAATCACAACAGAATTAACTAAATATCATAAATTTGTGCGGGGTGTTGAAATCATCATGCTAAACAAAAATCCAAATTACATCAATGATGGGTAAAATGTTTAGCATAATGAGTAAACAACCGAATTATGCACTCCAATGAAATGATATAACCATTACAACATTTTTATTCTCCATTTCCGGTTATGGAAAAATATATTCTCCCTACAATGACTATTAAGTATATATTATTTAATATATTTTAAATTACATAATATTCCCAACTGTTACCATGATATTGGAAAGCTAAAGGCACAAATCGCGATTTCAACTTTTAACTCATTGATTTATAAGGTTATTAGTTGAGGGGACTCCTCTTTTCTTTTCAACACTCGACCGCCAAAGTTTACCAAGAAATTGTATATGCATGCAAATGGCAGATGAGCACAGAATTTTGTAATGAAAGATACCTCAAGTTTAAAACATCTGGACTGTTCAGCAGCAAGTTGGTCTCACACAGATTGAAGTTCCTGCAAAATTATGTTTGCTTTGTAATCAAAATAATCACAATGGTCTCAACAAGCAATTTTTGTTTAGGAAAAAAATGACATTTGCAGTTACTATATATAGCCAACGTTAATTGCCTATCAAAAATATAACATCTGGACTGTTCAGCAGCAAGTTGGTCGCGCACAGATTGGAGTTCCTGTAAAATTATGTTTGCTTTGTAATCAAAATAATCACAATGGTCTAAACAAGCAATTTTTGTTTAGGAAAAAAAATGACATTTACAGTTACTATATATAGCCCCCGTTTGTTGCCTATGAAAAATATGACCACCACCTTTCACAAAGGAAAATATAGCCACCGCCTTTCACCGCCTACATGTTTGACCAAATCTTTATTTTCAATTTAGTTTTTCCCTTTTGTTTCTTAAGAAGATGGATCAATGCCTACATTTTTTGTTTCTTATGAAGGAGGTATGGCGGCCTACATTTGTTGACTTCTGAGGGATGTATGGATGAGGGATAAAATGGGAATATGAAATACGTCCTGAATGAATAGTAAACTAAGGATTCCCTCTTTTAATAGAAGAGGCCCAAGAGGGATAGTAGCTAATTGACAATTGGTCTCAAGATGTGTGTGTGTTTTTTAGGAGTTTACTTGCTAAAATCACTTTTGTGCCGCGTGGTGGTAGACTATATACACAACTGCGCCAAAATTAGGAAGGATCCTTTAAACTTCGCAGGTTAAGAAACTACTTTACATATATAAACACCCCCTACTATCAAAACTGTTTAAGGATACAAGTTTTCCCTTGTAATACTTGGCACTTAGCCTAGTTTGGCCACGTTAAATTCATAATACATTTTTGGATTAATAGCAAAAAATCCTCCTAAAAATGTTTCCATTTATGATATATCTTATACTTACTGAAAATCGCAGAAAACCCCCTATTCGAAACATTTTGTGCGAAAAACTCCATACCGTCAAATTTGCCGTTAAAAACATTAAAAATGCCAAAATTAAATAGTAATAATTGCAATTTTAGTATCTAAACTTTTTATTCTTTTTAAAATTATACCCAAAATTTTTTTATATACCACTCACAATCCTAAACCTTTAAAACTTTATTTTCCACCCCATCCCATTTCATCTTCTTCCCATAAACTTTATTATTTTATTAATCCATTCCAAAACCCTCTCCAAATTCCTCATTTCTTCTTCTCATTTCCAAGATAACACTTTAAAAAACTCTTCCCAATTTGAAAAAATGATTACACTAAAATCACTCCCGTTTGATAACCCATTTTGCATCATCACTCCCGTTCTTCACGGTCAGCAATTGTATTTCTTGCAAAATGAAGCTGATCATTTCATAGTTGATTACTTGGTTGGGGTTTTACCAAAAAGATATAAAGTACCTAGTGTGGAAGATCTAATGCAGGACAAATTTGCTAAAGATAATGTGGAATTTCTGGGCTTCGAGTTTCTAAGAGACGTAATCGCACTTTTGTAACTTGTTTTTTTATCTGTTGCTACTAATATTATGACATTGTTGAAGAGCTTCAAAACGTAGCTAAATATTTGTTTCTTATTTGTTTTATTCTGCCCTAATATATGAACAGACCATGCAAAAAGAAAATTAACATTTATTTTAGGAGTTTATCTACTTGTACATAATTTGGTGTATATCAAGGTATCCACCCTCTCACATAAGGGTGAGACCCATTTGAATAAAAATTATTTTCTCCAAGTGGGCCCCCACCCCCATGTGAGGGGATGGATACCTTGATGTACACCAAGTTATGTACAAGTAGCAAGACTCTTATTTTAGTACTGTGTGCTGCTATTGGATCAATTCCCCATAAAATTTTAAGCCATTACAGTGTGGTTATCTTTAATTTTATATGCAACATGGGTCTTCGTAAGTAGACTTGGTTTCTTTTTCTAAACCGGGCCACGCGTGAGGAATTGTCATAAAATTCTCTCTTCTATAAGTGTATGCTGCGGGGCAGGGGTGGGGTGATTGTAGTGTAATCCTTTTTTTCAAATTGGGAAGAGGGTTTAGAGTGTAATCTTGAGAAGAAGAAATGATGAATTTGGGGTGGGGGGTTTGGGAGAGCTTTGGAAGGGATTAAATAAAATAATAAAGTTTTGGGGAAGAAGATGAAGTGAGGTGGAGTGGAAAATAAAGTTTTAAATGTTTGGAATTATAGATGGTATATAAAAACAAATTGGGTATAATTTGTAAAAGAATAAAAAGTTTGGATATTAAAATTGAAATTATTACTTTTAGTTTTGTCATTTTTACTGTTTTTAACGACAAATTTGACAGTAGGGGATTTATCGCACAAAATGTTCAAATATGAGAGTTTTCTACGACTTTCAATAAGTAGTGGTATATCGCAAATGGTAACGTTTCTGTGTGTTTTTATGCTATTAATCCTATATTTTTCTCTTTCTTTTTAATCGCACATCATTCAACAAAATATTATTACATATAAACCATGAACTTTTTATTATTTTTCAACCACACATTCTCCAAAAAAATACTATTTCAAAAATTATAACATTTAACGAGGGCTTAATGTAAAAGTATTTTTCATTCCTTCTTAATTGCTGATTTTTAATTTAATTGTGATAAATTCATCTAAATTTCATTATTTTATTTCAGAATATTGTTAATTTTTTGGAAATATTTCGCTTATGGGGAAATAAATTCATAAATATCTCTACCCATATTGTTCAAGATCCTGTTAAAATATGTAATAGAAATCACATCATCGTCAAACTTTCTAGTCAATACGCCTAAGCACTCTCTTATTTGACCAAAAAATTATTCTACATAATTAATTAAAGCGCCATTTAGATCTAAACCTTCATTTGAAATCGTGAAGCACGTGGGTCATTGTATTGTTCCATTCAACCAGTTGCTTTGTGGCTAAAATGAGTAGACAAATTCCTCTCTCTTTTGTTTTCTTCATTTGCCATTAGCGTGGAATGAAAGACGTTCCACTTGAAAACAACCCGAAATTTAAAGGAAGAGATTTAAAATAAAATAAAATTCATATACTAAAAATAGATTGTGTTACATGTACATGATATGATGAGATGTAATTGAGTCAGAATTTATTCAAAAAAAAAAAAAAAACTTCCCGACAATTTTTTTGACACCTCATTTGTATGCAAAACATATATGTAACTCTTTACGTACAAATAACATTATTCACTAAAAATATGTTAAGAATTTGAAATTTTAATTTTATACCAACAATAAAATCATATTAAGACAATAAAGACACAAAAGAACACGCAATACTACATCGTCGGTCGTCACTACTGTAATTTTTTATGATGAAAAGAAAATCACCAAAGAAACTACACGCCCCACATTCTCTAACGTATCTCTTTTTGTGATGATACAAAATTTTTAATTACGAATTCTTATTTATAAGACAAATTAGGTTGACTTTGCGTACCAACTTTGCAAAGCCGCAATAATGCTCCACGACTTGACAAAATACTTTTGTAGTATTCCACATTCATTCTAATCGCGGATTCATTGGATGAACATAGATCTTTTTTCTTTTTCCCCTAAACAACTCCGTTTTCGTTAATTCGAAGACAGTTTAGTCAAAAGAAAGCAATACCAAATTTCAGCCAAGTAAATAAAATCTTTTTTTTTTTTTCCCCAAATTTCACCCATACGTCATAGGGAGACTAAAATCTAATTAAAGTTACTGATGTGGACCATTTGAACTGGGCTTTGATCTAAAAAAAAGATTGGAATATTACATATTCATGAGTATAAGTTTAGTCTATTTCAAAAATAAGAACACAAGTTTAAAATTACCAATTAGAATTTTTTAATTTTTTATTTATGAAATAATAAATTATTAAATTACTTTATTATTAAATACTTAATTCTAATATAATATAATTAACTCATCCCACCTTCACCACCCCTATCGCTCCGACAACAGTTCCGATCACCGCCCTACTCGGGCGAACTTTCCGGCAACTTCCCGGTGAACTTTTCCGGCGACTGTCCGGTGAAGTTTTCCGATGACTTCCCGACTACTGTTCCGGTAACTTTTTCGATTCTAACAATTATTTATCTTATTAATTAAATATTTATTTATTTTATTAATTAAATATAATGGTGTTACAATTATACAATTAATGGTCACATATACATAATTAATTGGTCACAGATTATTTTTGAGGTCACAAATCAAAAAAATTATAGGTCAAGTTTTTTTTTATTGGTCACATATCAAAAATTTTGTAGGTCACGGATTATTTTGAGGTCACAAATAAGGTCACATATTATTTTATTGGTCACGGATCAAAAAATTACAGGTCACAGTTATCTATCAGTCACATATTTTCAAATTCATTGGTCACAGATTAATTTTTAGTCACAATTTTAAGGTCACAGTTAGATTTTTTTGTGACCACCCCCGTGACCACCACCAATTTATGTGACCACCCCCATCGCAGATTAATTTTTAGTCACAATTTTAAGGTTACCACCACCGAATTCTGTGACCACCCTCGTGACCACCACAGACATCTGTTACCACTTCGTGACCACCACTGATTTCTGTGATCACCCCCGTGACCACCACCTCACTGCCACCAGCCACGTCGCCGTCGCCACCACCACCACCACACCACGACGCCCGCAACACATCACCACAACACTGCAACACAACTCACAACCCACAGTAGACCACCACCATCACCATCTCCTCCATCTCCGTTTACACCATCCCCATCCAAGAATCCACAAAGACCGTCGCCACCGCCACCACAACACACTATCACCGACTACACAACCACCATCACTTTCCCTCACTGCAAAATCACATCACAACCACCAACGCCGGTGAAGAAGAAAAACGGTCGGCTAGGCCTGAACAAACGACCCAGTAGGAACACCACAACCTCCTCACCGCCAACAGTAACACCGCCTCATCCCACCATCATCGTAAAACTACCAAACCACGCAAGCCACTACGATCCATCCAACAATTGGAAAAAAAAAAACAAAAACACCATCAACGCAATCTGGGTGCTGCAGCCACGATACGCACACACGCACCACCATTTAGACCTTGGAGATGAAGAAATTGGAAGCAGCAAACCTCGGGGCTGAAGAAATTGGGAGATGAAGAGATAATCGAGCATTGAAGACGAATGGGAGATGAAGAAATTGGAAGCGGCAGACCTCGGAGGAAAGAGACGCCGCCGATAGAGAGACGCTGCAGCATCGAGTAACGCCGACCGTAGCGCCTCAACGCTGTCGTGCCACCGGCTGCAGCATCAAGCGACGCCGACTGCAGCGTCTCAACGTCGGAGCTGTGTTGCCGACGACGGGGTGGTGTAGAGAGAGAGAGTGAAGGGCGACAGTTTGCTTAGAGAGAGAGAAGTAGATCTGAAGAGAGAGATAGGAAAGATTGAATTAATTAGGGCTTGAATGTGTGAATATTGTATATTTAATTATAATAAATTTTAATTATAAAAAAATCTGATTTTGGAAATATTAAACTTCCAATCTGATTTTAGAAAGTTTAATACTTAAAGTATGGTTTTGTGTAATTACCACAAAAAAGATTTCTCTTTTCTTCTTTTTTGTCAATACCACATTCTTCATAATGAAAAATTCACAGTTAATAAAAATATTGTTTCATTCAAGATTAGATGACCTGTGGTTATAGATAGATTATTATTGTTCTCTCCCTCTACCTCTATCTTCAAGATGAGCTGTGGTTATTATTGTTCTCTCCCTCTACCTCTAATCTTCACATGTAGTTATAGTATTCCACATTCATCCTGATCGCCAATTAATTTGATGAGTAAAATAACCAAGCTTGTACGTGCAAAATTGGGAACAACGGTCAGCAGCTACAAAGCCTCGTGGTTTTTGGACGAGGGATGGATCGTGCATGACAAGCTTCATAATTTCGGGGCAACGAATTGGAGAAATTCAAAATTGAATTTAATCGACCTTAGATTCCAAAACCCCCATTTTGTGCCTCCAAATACAACAAGAAGATAAATGGTCAATCGGGAGTACGATTTCCACCGCTGATTTAAAATCTGGAAATGCGTTTTGATGAGATTTGGAGAGATGCCCTGTTTCTACTCTGTTATATATCGACAAATTGCTGTTTTGAATTAAAGAACAAGAAGATTTTCAAACAAGAAAAGATTAAAATCAGAGCCTACACACACACACATATATAAAACATCACAAGCTGTAAAAACTAAAAACAGAGGGAGAGAGAGACGTACAACACCAGGCTGCAGCTGCACTTAAAAGCATAATTTGCAGACTGCCTATCCACAATTATACAAACAGACACA